TACATTTGAGCCGAGCGGAGAACACACTTAGAGAAATTTAATGAAAAACGGGAAGAAAAATTCAAACACCAGCAATTCATAACCTTACATGAAATAGCATGAAAACCGTTCTTATTTGTATTTATGCATGTTTTCAACTGAGGATATGAAGACGACGATGGATTGACCCTTTTTTTACAATTTGGTTCTGTTGTGACGGCGATCTTGATGAACACTCCTTTTCCCAAGTCCTCTGTCCGAGTAGTCTTGATATTCTCCAGTCTCGATCTGTGGACGTCTCGTCGGCATCGTCAGTGAGCTTTGCCAATCTTTGGGCACAATCACACCCAGCCAAAGAGACAAGTGAAGCCTACCTATTGGCAAACTCTGCTGTACAGTTGGTAAATCCCATTTATCCCATTTCCTCGAATCCTATCCCTTCGCGACCCCAAATTTTAGCCAAGTTATTTTTATCACTTCCTCCAAACGTGTGACTCGTCTGTCCGTCTCTAGGCCTATCCAAATGACTGCATTTATGCATGCCTTTTTAACGTACAACTCCTACTTAATTTGAATATGAGTAGCCTGTATGTTGTAATGTCAAAATGCAAGTTTAAGGACTGCAATCACACTATTTAGCTTAAGGTGAAGAAGAATGGGTAATTGAATTTCCCCACAATCAGACGAATGAACATTATGCTTCTGATGAATTTCATACAGCCTCGCTCTTCAAAATGGTATGGACTGTAGTTATGAGTTTGCACGAACTTGTATCATCACCACACTCAGCGGAGTTAGACTCGGCTAGTGCAAAGTATTGTTGAATTCGAGTGTGGCTCGAGTCAAAATGTGGGCGTTGATGAGGTTCAGGTTGAGCCTGGATGTGAATAAGTTTAAAGAAGTAAGTGTAGAAGGAAAACTTACGCATCTGATGTTGGCAATATGCAACTATTAGGCCATACCTGCAAATGCGTGCGGTGGCCAGAATTCTTGCATGTATGCGTGTCTTTTTGTGTGCCGACCGCCTGTACCGGACTTCGAATAACAGGAGACCGAGACCACAAATGGGACTTTAGCCTCGATCTGTAAACACTCGAAGTTGTCAGGAGTCGCGAGCAAACTTTTGCTAAGTTGTCCCGTCTTCTTGGATCGCTTCTCGCTTTCAAAGACCTCCCTCATGTTCACGGTCGTCAAACGCAGTGGAGCGTACATTTGTCTGTTGTCCACACGAACTTACGACTTTCCCAGCCACCTCGGGCTGATTCTTGATCCGAAGCAAGTGAACGATTCCTCCAGCTTGGCGATTATTGCCTGAGTTGATCGCTCATGCTGTTCCAAGGACGAAGTCATGGCGTTCTGGCGTATTTTGAATGTTCGCTTTTTCCCTTTGTATGGGTTTTTGTTTTGTTGCTACTCCTTTTGGCCAATTTTATCCCAACGCCAGCTTTGCAGACCGGACAAATGGGCAAGTTTATGCGAAGGGAAGTTGAATATCGATGAATGCAAGTGTTCAGCTCATCCCAATTCAGAAGAAAAGTGATGAACTGATTCAAAAGTGGATCCCACTATAAGACGACAGAGGATTCCTTTTGGCCAGC